AACCGGGCTGTCTTACATGGGTTTCCCTGTYCAGCCCCAAATCGGTAGTTCAGAATTTCTGCATTAATTTTTCGTCCCGTGCTATATTCTGAACAGACTATCTCACGCCTGTGAGGCAATTGGCCAAGACAGCTGCATCAGCCTCATTTCAGTGCAAAATCTGTTTTACAAATCTCAACTTGAATTCCYTGCCCGTGACTGAGCAGTTGGGTGTTCTGTCACAGTACGTACACAAGGTCCTGCTGCCCCTCYTGCAGCAGTGCCCGGTACTGCTGAATCTCCTGCTCCAGGCGGGTCTTGATGCCCAGCAGCATCTTGTACTCCTCGTTCTGGCTCTCCATCTCACAGCGRATGCTGGCCAGCTCCTCCTCCAAGGGCGCGATCATGGCCTGGATCTGCTGCAGCTGCATGTTGTAGCGACGTTCCGTGTCTTCCAGGTTGGATTGCAGAGAGTCTATCTGCAATGGGAGGGCAAAATGCAGTGTTTATGGGAATGTGGTGATTTTACTTTTGTAGAAAAGCAGGAGATCTTCACAAATCTTTAGAAAAACTATATCTTTGAAGATAAGGAATCTAGTATCCCACTCTCCTTGGATGCATTACTTGCTGCATGTAGCCCTTCTTCTCACACAGACTGTCACAGGTAAAGCAAATGCCTTTCCTTACCATGCTGATCTGTGACTGCAGCTCGATTTCCAGGCTCTGATATTCACGTCTCAGCTCAGAGATCTGTTGGTTGCTTGATTGGATCTCYTGGCCGCTTGTGTGGACTTGTTGATTAACTTCTTCCATCTGAAAAAGTGACATGCAAAATTGAGGCATTTTTAACAATTAGAAAACATTGTGGGGTTATCAGAAAAGCAGCAAGAAATCAATTAATAAGAATAAAGATGCGATGCAGACTGTGTATTTCCCTCAAGCCACTCTGACAACACCCTGATAATTCACTGGCTGCTCAAACACAGAAGCTCAATGTGCTTTATTTCATAAACTGATGTTTTATGAAACATCACCTGTTATAGGAAACTGTTTAAAGTAATTTAAAGTTATTGTCCCTCAAATAACATGGTAAGTTGCCTTTCATCTGCTTTAAATAGGTCTTTATATCAATTATATCTTTGTGAAAGATATATTTGCCTGTGCTTTACCTTGGTTTCATACCAGCTTTCCACCTCCTTCCGGTTGTTCTCGATGAGTCTCTCATACTCGCACCTCATTTCATTCAATTTTTCCATTAAGTTAATGCCAGGAGTAGCATTGACCTCCACACTGACATCYCCACCAGACTGGCCTTGCAGTCCTCTCATTTCCTGAAAAAAAAATCACAAAAGCCCCATGAGGTTCTGGAAGGGTGAAGGTAAGGAGGAATGGCATCAGTTCAAATAAAGGGAAGGAAAGGGACATARATCCTCACACAGCCCATGACTCCAGAAAAGGGCCTTGTCTGCCCTTGCCATGGAACAATTGTGCCATTCCTGAGACTCCAGCGCTCACAGCCAAGCACTGTATACACAATGACCCCCCTGCTGCCTCTAAAGGGTCATAAGGAATTCTATTCTCTGGGTGGGAATCTGTTCTTCTCAGTGGGAAATCTCATTGCAGAGAGTACAAATGCTTTCTTTTGACTCCTACTTATATTCTATCCAGTTTTCCTTCCATGAGTTCAGCAAACAAACTGTGGTTTGTACTGAAAACCATTCATCCCCCTGTTCTCATGCGTTGACCTGGTGTCTCATTACACCAGCTGTGGACAGCTATGCACTCTACACACTCYTCAAAATCAAAAATGTTGTGTCAAGTTGGATGATCAAAACCAGTGACCAAAACCTGGTTACTGCTGGTGGAAAAATCCACGGGGAAATTCTTTGAGTGTTGTGTCCCTTTAGTTATTGAAGTGTGAAGAAACTTACCTCTTCGTGGTTCTTCTTCAGGAAGATGAGTTCCTCTTTCAGGGATTCAAACTGTGTCTCCAAGTCAGATCTGGACAGAGTCAGTTGATCCAAAAGTGGGCGTAATCCATTGATATCACTTGCCACACTCTGGTGGAGAGTATATTCGGTCTCATACCTGAACAACAGACAAGAAAAAGAGTAAAAGTGCTGCCAGACCTCTTTGATTGGTATCTCAGTTGTGTACAGTTTCCCATCTTACATCTCTGTTCAATTCTTAAAAGAAAAGACCCCATTCTCTTTCCATCTCCAATAGCTTTGTTTGATTTCAGTACAGTTTCTCTCTGTGAGATTTATACCATGAGGATTGTGCTTATAAATCTATGTGCATGGATGGAGAAACTTAGAATGGAATCCCTTAAATGTGCCTCTTCAAAAACTTGTCTGGAGAAAAATAATACAAAAATCTAAAGCAATCCTTGTCTGAATGCTTTTCCCAACAATTCTACATTCTGTCATCAGAGCCCAGAGGCTCCAACCTCTGCAAGGATTAATTTGCAATGGGAAATTKTGGGGATAAAGGGAGGCAAAGTAGATGGAGCCAGGAAGGGAGTGACTCACTTCAGTCTGAAGTCATCCACAGTCATTCTGGTRTTGTCCATGTCAAGAAGCATCCTGTTAAGGTCCACATTTGCCCCAACAATCTGAAAGGGAGAGGGCAGGTGTTATTCAGTGAGTTGTCATTTCAGTCTCACAAGAGAGAGAAGAAACACCTATGCACAAACACCTTGCAGGAGGGTTTTATGGCAAATCAAGCTTGACTGGAGCTGCAGGAGCTACTGAGAGAGATCAGTTTATTGCTTCCAGATAAAAGAAACTGCCTTTACTGTTAATTTTTGTTTGCAAATATCCATTAAAAATACCTTGTTGGAAAGAATAACTAAATAAACTCCTCATATTCAAAAAAGAAAAACAAACAAACAAACCCCCCCAACCCAACTAACAAAAAACAGTGGGAAAGAAAAACTACCATAACTTTTGAGAACAGCCATGTTCATGCAAGAGATACATGACTCTTAAATGGCTGAGGGCTGGAATGAGACTAACTGCACATGCTGGTTTATCCAATGTATTCCCAGAAATACCCAGTTAAATGGCAGTAATAGTAATAAAACACAAGCAAGGATTAAATCTGCTCTTCAAGAGCGAAGAACGAGCGAGCAGCAGCCCAGCATTGAAGAGAGCATAGCACAGGCCATGTGATGGGGGCACAGGTGCTGATCTGCCACTGCACCCAACAACACTTTCTGTGCCAAATACTCATGTGCCAAAAGCTGGGCCCCATACCACTCTGGTTCCTGACTAAAGCACAGGAGGGGAAATCACCCCAAATAAGCACAGGAGGGGAAATCACCCCGAATGGAGACCTTATGCTGCACGAGGGAAGTGCCATTCCAACGAGAACCTGTTCCAAGATACTCAAAATACATCATACCTGGTTTTGCAGCTCTTCAATTGTCCTGTAGTATTGGCTGTAATCCTTGCTCTGAGAGGGAGCTTGATTTTTGTACCACTCCCTGATCAGATGCTCAAGTTGGGCATTTTCTTCCTCCAAGCGTCGCACTTTATCCATGTACGAAGCCAGGCGATCGTTAAGGTTCTGCATGGTCAACTTCTCATTTGTGGACAGCAAGCCAGAATCCTCTCCAAAGCCCATCCCTCCAAAACTGCCCCCACCATAGCTGCCACCACCACCACCAAAGCCACCGCTACCCCCAAAGCCACTGAATCCACCTCCACCGTATCCACCACCTCCATAACCACCTCCCATTGCCCCAAATCCRCCTCCTCCTGATCCGAATCCTCCTCCCATGCTGCCACAGCTCATTCCTCCTCCGTAACTACCACCACTCATTCTCCCACCGTAGCTACTGCGGCTAATCCTCCCGCAGCTGCCGCTGCTAAAGCCCCCTCCATAGCTGCTCCTGGAGCCTCCTCCACCAAAGCTTCTCCCAGAAAAGCCCCCGCTGCCTCCAGAGGAGGTGTATCTTCGTGAGGACATGGAGGAGTATCCACCAGACCTACCCCCTCCACCACCTCCACCACTGCATCTTCCACCACCACCACCACCACCTCCACTGCTAATTCTCATGGTACTGCTCGAAGATTTGGTGCCACAGCTCATGGTGACAGCAGGCAAGATTCAAAGCGCAACCCCAAATTTAGCTGCACAGCCTGATAAGCTTCAGGACTGTGAATTTTCATCCCCTGCTCTCTCTATTTATACATTTGACACTGGGTGTCACCATCAGGGTGTTTCCTTCTCCCAGGGCATTTACCAAACTTTTTGTTTGTGCCAAGAATAATTTGCTGAACAGTATTTTTGTGCAGCTATCTCAGGCAATCCAACCCACGGCTGGTCTTCTGAGGCTTGGTTAAGGTTSAACATCTCACTTCTTTTGGGTGACATTCTTCTCATTGAGTGTTTTCTGGAAAAGGTACTTTCTTGGCTAAGGTTTTGTAGCTGCTCTTGCTAAAGACTGTTGTTTATTCACTTTTGCTCTGTCTAGTTTTGTGCATTTCAGATTTTCTACACAGCTTATGTTCATTTCTCACCATACGTGATAGTGCAAGAGTTTTATTAATAGGATTGTGTGACTTGTCTGTAAAAATTGTCCAACTCRTGTATCCCTGCCAGCACTTAGAGAACATCTTATTTTATAGAACAAGCTATTTCAAGCAATGCAGAAGGATTCTTATTTAAAAATCAAAATCCTKCCTTTGTGAAGAAAGCACTAGAGCAGCACACAGCCAGCCAAGTCCTAGAATTCAAAGAGAGAAATAATKTTGGACTTTTTTCACCAAAGCACTGTTGATCTAAAATAGAAGGAAGATCAAGGATGCTTTAATTGTATTATGAAGTCAATTGTGTCCTAATTAGAAGTTGTTTTATTGCAGACAATGATTTAAAAACTAGTGTGTGGGAAGACTTTTTATCATTTAATATAAAGCAGCTCACTCTCTCTATTGTTAATGTGTCAAATATTGTAGGTGATAAAATAATTATATCTACTGTTCTTAAAGCAAAGATCCTTGAGATTAAAATAGCATCCTGAGAGAAAAGGTGAAATGCTTTTTACACAGATCAGTAGAAATCAGACTGCTGAGACCACAGATGAAATGACCCCACACTTCAGTGTCGCCCTGATCCCCAGAAGTTGGCCCTGGGTGGAAGGGTTTCCATCCTCACTGGGCAGGTTGGATGMCAGAGCTGAATATCTGAAAGCAGATGTGCAAATAGCAGCAAAACACCAGCATTTGTGTCTTGCTGTAGATGGACCCAAACTGTTGTGGTTTGTGTGGAAGAATGTGCACAGATTCCCAGTGACAGTTCWGTTCTCTCTGAAATGTCTTCATCTCCTGCCCTTCTCTCTGTGGGGTTACAGAGCCTTTAATGACTGGAGATGGTTATGAAATGCAGCAATCTCCCCTAAACCTCATGTGCAGGAGCAGAGGGCAGCCCTGAGGAGCTGCCATTTCTGCCTGCTGTCCTTCTCCCAGCCAAGACCTCTTGGAGATGAAATGCAGMACAGCCCTTGCTTTCCAAAGGCTGCCTTGGTGGGATGTTGATTGCAAATTCAGGATTATTTAACATTTCCTGACCGCAGCCTTTCTCCTGGCCTTTGTGCCATGCCTGTGCCAGCACTGCTCTGTTGCTGCTTAGGCAATCGCTTTCAAAACCTCCCGATTTTATCTTGCTATTTGATCTCTCAATGGTTGGAAGATGATGAAAGATTCCCAACAGTTTGGTGATGGAATAATTTCTCCTGATTCTCAGCTGGAGGCTGGTAGTGACATCTCAGCAGCATAAACAGTTTCTGGGCTTTAGCACAGTCTGTTATTGGTGCAGAAAGATGCAATTTGCTATAGGAAAAGCCTTTTTTTTTTTTGTGCTATTTTGCTTCTAGGTCTGGGTAATTTCACTTTGTTCAGTGGGGATCTTTGTCACAAGTTCTGCTGCGGTGAGTAAAACTGRTTATCATGTTCAAATTCCCATCAGTGATTCCAGGGGTATTCCTYAGAGATGCTTTTCATAGCTGAGCTAGAAGATTTGTGGGTTTGTTAATGATAGTGATCAGAAAATTCCCTGTAATGATTAAATAAAGAGTAAAAAAATTGCCATAAGGGTCTCCTAATCTATTTCTTTATCTTCTGAGAACCCCCATTGTTTCCTATTTTATTTATTAGTGTCTTTTTTCATATATAACTATTCGCAGAAGAGATTTGTCCACACTGGAGAGTTCTCCTGATAAGGGTAAGTCTTAATGCCGGCTTTGAAAATACTTTAAAAAATAAAAACAATGAAAGAAAAGAAAGATTCAAACCACAAAGAGTGAGAACTTTCACTGACCTCGACATTTCATTTTAGCTTTGTATTGTTACCACTCTTCATATATAAAGGAGGATCATAAATCACAGATTTTACTTTTAGATTTGAGGTAACTTTAAAGTCACATGCTCATAGGATGTTCCTGTTTTGTCTTTAGCATTGTGGTTATTTAATTTTTGTTAATAGTTCCACATTGGTGGTTTTATAGAAACCCWGCTGGCCATGAGGCTGGGCCATATTCCCATGTTCTGCTGCAGCTGAGAGCTGCCCTTGGGATGTTTGGTTTCTGTCACGGTCACTGTGTGTTTCTTCGGAGCAAGACACTGAAGTGCCTGAAAACTACAGGTGAAATATGAGTACATCATCTTCTGTAAAGTTGTACACACTGAATACTCTCATGGCTGATTTTAATGTTTTGACTATTAAATACTTGACTGTGCAAATACTTATAAACCAGAGCAGGTCTGTTCTGTAGACAGGATGAATTTTTCATTTCTGAGCTCATTAAAAGAATCTTTGAAGATTCTTGTTCTCTGATGCATTTCTCTAATGTATTATATGGATGATATGAACTTATTGAATTAACTAAAAAAGGAACCATCGGTTTTAGGACCTCATCTCTTTCCCCTATGTAATGCACAGCTGAATCATTAATATTTCTGTGTTGATACAGCATCCATACCTTATAAACATTGCTGTTTCCCAATKGGAGTAGGGTAAGGACCTTTATTGCTGCAGCCACCAGCACTGCCCAAGCTGCAGAGTGCCGGAATGTTCTGATTCCATGCGTGGCTTTTGCTCCAGCACAGCACATGCCACAGTTCAGCCCAGCTGATGTTCCTTCACTCTCACTCTGTTATTGTTTCCCTTTTAATTATGTCTCCATGATCCGTATCAAAGAAGTGACTCCCARTCACGGGGGTGATGACAAACCTTGSGAGCAGCCCGTGCTGCAAAACTGGGAGACTTTTCCAACAGACTGGAGCTGCTGCRTTCCAAACAGACCTGGAGAAAATGTGTTCTCACTTCTGTGCCTGTGAGCTGAAAAATTGAAACACTTCCCCTTAATTCAAAGTCATTCTGATGCCTCAGGCAACTGCTAGAGTTTATTCTTTTCATCTATTTAATGATCTCTTCCCATCATTMCTACCAGAAATTTTTGTGAGAAGAGAGGGTCTGTTTTCACCTCGGAGCTGCTGCTCACTCCACATTCCTGCTTCAGCTCAGAAGTGAAATTTGTGAATTTCTAGTGAAATCTCAGCCATTTCTGAAGAGATTTAGGTTAGACCCAGCAAAGCAAACAAGGACTCCTAAGGCAGCARTGGGCTTGCCTGTGAAATTTAAAACCTCCAGGACTCTCCCAGCACAATCTTTTGTGCGGGATAACCCAGACCTTCCATGGGAGGAGGCTGACAGGAAGAATAGCTGTTCCTCAGATCCTAAAAATGCACATATGGGCTTTGCCAAGTGCCTGTGAGAGCTGTGGGTCAGGGTGTGTGTGCCCCGTAGCTGGGGACACTTTTCAGGCTGCCAATTCCCTCCTGTCAGCATTTCCAGCACTTTCTGAGCCACAATCAGAGTGGTCCCACTGTCTTTTCCCCAGTCTCCTACAAGGTGAAGGCAATTAGATTGGAATAATTATTTTTGTTGGTACCAAAACAGCACAGACGATGTACTATGCTGTACTCATTCTGCAGTCCATGAAGGTGGCCTGGGTAGCATTTGGCAATTAACAGGGCTGACAGTGCTCAACAAAAGAGACATCAGCACAACAAAGACATAGGCAATTTGGAAATTACATCTGTGCCTTCAAATGGACACATGGATTGCTTGGGAGCTCTGAAGCCAAACACGCAGGAGTGTGTGCACATTGGGTTTTTGCCTAAGGTTGCTCTGAAGGTCTTGTTCCAACACGTACCACAATTAYCTGCTCAGAGCACTAATAGGAACACCAGATAAGTATCCAAGTTGCAACACTTTGTACTCGTAAAATTAAAGCTTATTATGCAGATTAATGATGAATGAAATGCATGCAAATAAAAAGTGCAAAGTTCTCCTCGCTYCTCAGTATCGCTGCTGCCCCACTTTGAGCCAGCCCTGAGCTTTGACACTACAATATTTGTATTTCTTGCTCTGCTTTGCAATGGTTTGGGTTTTCTAGTTCTGTTCTTCCATATAAACCTGTTTTCTCAGTAAGCAAATGCCAGTGACAATCCAGGTGCAGATTTTGCAATGCCAAATATAAAAAGTATCCTTAAATYGGCATTTCCTTCCTGGGTCTGGTAAGAAACCATCTCAATTTATTCTGGGTTTTGTCTGTAATGAACACTAATGCCATGATCAGGTAGAGGGTTTTGTTAGTTTATTGATGTTTTGTATTTATTTTGTCACATACCATAACATGCAATAAACCTTATTATGAAGCTAATTTACATTGTAGATGCAGACTCATTAAATGCATGAACATTATAAAAAAAATTCAATTCAATTTAAAACAATTCAATTATAAAAACACCTTGTTAAGAAAACCACAGATTGTAGGTAAGGAAGAAGACAATACAATCAACGTGAGCAGCAAAAGTAGCAGTAGTAGTATTGTTAATTATTATAACATATCAAAATAAGCATTTAAATCAGCAGCACTGAGTATTGCAACACGATCCATCCTCGTGCATGTCTGTGCTCAGTGCTGGGTTCCCAGCCCCTGAACTGTCTCAATGCCCTTCCCACACTCCAAATTCCAGTTTCTGCTTTGCTCCCCCAGGGAYCGTTTCAGGGGAATTTCTTCTGCAAGGTTAAATGCAGAGATGCCTGAGAATTAGATTACCAGCAGTAAAATACTAAAAGTGAGCTGTATTTTTGGAAAGAAGGACAGAAGCAAGAGGTGTCAGAAATGCTCAGAKCTGTCACAGTGGCACAGAGCAGTGATTTCCAGCATGGACAGGCTGCTCTTCCAAGTAAATCATATCCAACCACCCCAACAGCCTCCTGAATGTCCCTGGGAGGTCAGAGGCCAGGTAAATCCTGGGAATTACAGGCCTGTAAATCACCCTGGGACAGCCAGGAAGCAGGCAYRGAGCAGGAACATTKTTGAGGTTAACCTGGAAGGCTCCTRGGGGAGGTGTGAGRAGCAGTCCTGGATTGGAACTATTCCTTAATTTSGGATGCTGGTTGAGTACCCTGAACAGACAGGTCTGAGAAAGAGCTGTCACCACCTGCCAGAGATGGAAAACAAGCAAAGCAATTGGAGAAAGTATAAAAACAGMGACAAGTGTGATGTGATGCTGCAAGGGGTTAAAAATGAAAGTGATTTTACAGCAGAAGGGGTTGGGGGTATCCTGGCAAACATCACCACCATTGCTGTGGTATCAGGCCAGGTGTATCAGCTTGTGCTTGGAGTCCTTCCTGCAGGTGAGCTGGTTCCTCTAGCCCCCAGAGGGACTGGTCAGGAAGAAAAATGAGATATTTTTTTCATTTTCCAATGCTAATCCATGGCTGAGAGCCTGGCATAAGGCAACAGTGTGAATCACCAGCACAGATCTGCCTCAGAACTCAGAACTCAGGTGTTCAGGATTCCCGTTCCCACGGTCTCCCACTCGTTCTGTGTTTCCCAACTYTCTCCCATGGGTGATGCCTTCCTCACAGGGAAAAAACAAACCTTGTGATTGTAAAACTCAGAGAGAAAGAGTGATAGTTCTTTTCGGGCTTTAGCAGGCGAGTAGAAGTGCACAGGAAGAAGGATGTGAGCACGTGTCATGTGAGAAACCCTCTGGATTATTTTCAAGTGAAATTCCCAGTAGAGCTCATATTTTAAAGATGTTTTCTAGATAACAGTCAGTTCCTCAAACCCACCCTCTTGTCGCTGATAGAAGTCAGTAGCAGAAGGATTTTGACTGTGAGTTTTCCCATCACAGGGGCAGCAGAGTATTGCTCCTGGCAGTGCAGACTGTAAAGTTTTGCCCAGTGAGTTTTAAATGKTGATTATGTCACTGCTAACTCCGAGTTTATGGGTAATCTGACACATCACTGTGTATTCCACTGATTGGACTTAATATTTGTAACCAATTCAAACAAAAATCTCTGCTAAAGGAACTTGGGCCAGACACAGTTATCTGGTTGCATCAGAGAGAAGCAAAGATTTATTACCATTTATTCCACAGGAACACCAATCRCGGTAGAGATTAACTCAGGTAACTGTGATTTGGAACAGAAAGACAGATGGAAAAAGCAGACAGGACATCCAGAGAGCTCTGTTGAGCCCCTGGAGTGAGCAGTTGAGTAAGTTGGACAAGTGTTCACTCCTGCTCGTGTTCAGCCGTGCTCAGTAGAGTCTTGCTTGGTCCAAAGGCCTCGCTGGGAGGGTCCTGCAGTGGAAGATCTGGTCTTGTYGATCACTCCTCAACCTTCCTAAAGCTCCCTGTGGAAAGGAAAGCAAGAATTTCTTTGAAGAATTCAGCATTTTTAATTTTGTGTTGCTCCATCACCTGTGCAGTTCTTGATGCACCAGGGTTGTTCCCAGCCTTCTGGAAAGTTCCAGACAGTGTCAGACCTGAGTTTGAGCAGCGAGTGTGCAGCTTTAGCAATTAACTACATAGATCTGCTTCTGTTCTCAACCATGGGAGTGCAAATCACTTTAAATTTAGAGTGGCTGCAGCAGTACAGACCAAATACAGATGAACTTAAAATCTCATGTGTGTATGAATATTTACAGCAATTTTCTATAAGTTATAGATGGCACATAATATGTTTGAATCTTGCCTACCAAGCATGAATATATGTTGAAGTGTTGCAGGTCAGAGGGGATGTTTGATCAGAGGAATAAATTTTTATGGAGGAGTTTGCAAAACTTCTGTATCAWTTTTTTAAAAACTAAAGCTCGTCTACACCAAATTTGCCAAATAATCTTCCTTATGGCACAAAATCCTAAACTCACTGCCTTGGTTTCAGCATCAGGAGTGTCTGTGCAGTGTTCCTACTGTCCTACTGATGGCTTCAGGCCTTTGGGTGAGAGCCAACTCTCATGTCACGACTGACTGTCAGTCTGTGATGGAAACTGTTTGGGGCAGAGCCTGGCTGAGCCTGGTGATTATAAAAAAAAATCAATTGAAACCTCAGAGCAGGACCATTTTCCATCTTTTCATAAAAAAAAAAATCAAAAGTGGGATGGAACCTTTCTAAAAATTATGTCTTCCTGCTCATTTTCACCATTTTCAGGCTTTTGTCTGAGGTGCTGCCAGGACCTGGAGCCTTACCCATTCTCAATTGTTTTATGGCTTTAGACACTTCCTCCATGGTTGCTCCTCTCTCCAATGTTTTGTTATCTTCCAGGCAGAGCTTCGTGTTTTCAGCACTTCCTGGAATCACAGCCAGGAAATCAGATACGGATCAGACCTTTTGGTCACTCCCCATCTTTTGCTACTTCAGTATTTTGCAGGCAATATTTTAAATATCTGGAATGCTCCAACTATTYTACCCTGCTTTAACCAAACCTGCTTAATGCCAGTCACATTTCTAACCTCTGACTTCCCTAGTTCCCTGCACGCTTTGGATTTGGCACCACTTTCCTTTTGCCCCCTCCATTTCCTCTTTTCCACATCCTCTGACACAACCCTTCGTGCCATCCTTCATGCTGCTCATGTTAATTTGTCACTGTATAAGAACAAATGTCAGAATGGCCTTAAAACAAGACTGGGAAAAAAATAGCAAAATTATTTCCAGGAGGGAAGTTGCTATATCTTTTCCTGCTATTCAGAGAAAATCATGAATGGCAGGATGCAATTTTTTTGTTCCATTTTTACCTTGGCTTTCACCAGAGTCGCTGGGCTGGGACTGGGAAGACGAAGAGCGGGAGAGGCAGGATTTACCCCCTCCTCCTCCACCACTGCCACCTCCTCCACCTGCAGCTTTACCACTGGTTCCACCTCCTGTTGTTCCTCCACTCCCTCCTCCACTTTCAGAAGAGGAAGATCTTCCATAGGATCCTCCTGATTTTCCTCCACTGCTTCCTCCACCTGAGGACCAACAGCTTCTTCCTCCACTGCCTCCTCCATGACCTCCTCCTCCTCCTCCTCCTCCTCCTCCTGAAGATCCACCACCAGCTCCTCCCTGTGAAGTGCTGTAAGGAGGAAGGGGTGTGTTATTTCCTTCTCACCTTTCATTTTCCCAAATAATGGCACTTCCTGATGGTACTTACAGGAAGAAATGGCAAATTAMAATTCTAAATACTTTTGTAAAAGTACAGCTAAGATTTAGATTCCATGTGAATCCTTGTGCTCATAGTAAATACATTGATGATTAATCTCTTGCACCAGTTCCTAATATAAATATTGCTGCTGATTACATCAATGGAAAGTTAATTAATTGATGTCTGTACCTAATGCCCTGCTGGCCCTCSTGCAGCAGTGCCCGGTACTGTTGGATCTCCTGCTCCAGGCGGGTCTTGATGCCCAGCAGCATCTTGTACTCCTCGTTCTGGCTCTCCATCTCACAGCGGATGCTGGCCAGCTCCTCCTCCAAGGGCACGATCATGGCCTGGATCTGCTGCAGCTGCATGTTGTAGCGACGTTCYGTGTCTTCCAGGTTGGATTGCAGGGAGCCTATCTGCAAAGGGAGGGAAAAAATGCAGTGTTTATGAAAATGTGGCAGAATTGGATCGTTCTTATGCCAACATGAGAAAAATCCCACAATGTCAGATGCTTCAAGGATCCTCCTTGACTGTCACAGCTGACCTCCTGTCATTCCAGCAGCTCCTGAGTTCTTTGCATGTCAGACAATCAGGAGCAGTTGTTACCTACCTGACTGATCTGCGACTGYAGCTCGATTTCCAGGCTCTGAAATTCACGTCTCAGCACAGAGATCTGTTGGGTGCTTGATTCCATTTCTTGGTTACTTGAGTGGACTTGTTGACTCACTTCCTCCATCTGAAAAATTAATGTAGAGAATTGGGGTTTCTGAGTTTTACTTACAGTGCCAACATGGCAGTTTATCATGGGACTGACTGGAACACAACATTTTGCAGAAGGGCCACCGGTAAAATGGGGCTGTTAAATTTGCYTGTGTGGCTCTGTCAGAAAAATTCAAGTCCATTTTGATTTACTTCATTTTAACCAAAGGGACTCTGCCGTTACTTCCTAAAAGCAATGGATGTTTTGCCATTCCTCTACAGAAAGTTCTTACGAAGAGCTGTCACCACTTACCTTGCTTTCGTACCACTTTTCAACCTCTGCACGGTTTTTCTGAATAATGGCTTCRTATTCCTGCCTCATCTCATTCAGTTTTTTCAGCAGATCCTCTCCTGGAGCAGCGTGCATCTTCACATCCACCTCCCCGCTGGACTGGGATTGCAGCTGTTTCATTTCCTGCAGAGAAAACCCAGGCCCAAGGACAATGAACACAAATGGAGCCTTTCAACAACACATAAATATATAATTTGAGGKGATTGTGTTGTAATTATTTGGCCTTGGCTTTCCAGTCATTGCTTTTTGAGGGGGCTGAGCTCAGGAGCACCCTGGAACAACCTGGCCCTACTCCTTGGTCAGGGTTTTGAGCAGAGGATGCCACCTGCCCACATCTCCAGTGTKCATTTCAAGGAGCTGGCTCTTACCTCCTCRTGGTTCTTCTTGAGGTCGATGATCTCCTCCTTGAGAGACTCAAACTGCATTTCCAGGTCAGACTTGGTCAGGGTCAGGTTATCCAAAAAGGGTCGCAGGCCGTTGAGGTCGCTCTCCACGTTCTGCCGGAGCCCGCTCTCCATCTCGTACCTGTGCAGGGACAGTGCAGACAGGTCAGCCCTGCTCCTGGAACCTCAGTCCTTCTCCTGCTGACACCATTTATGGAAAAGTGCCCCTGTTCCAGTATCAGTGTCTGCTTTTGTGTCTGTACTTGGAGCATGCAGTGTCTCTCAGCCAGCAGAGTTAGGAAATTATCAGCCAGTTCTTAACATTTAATTATTCATATTACTTAATAACATAAAGTTATGATTCTTCAAAGTAAATTTAAAGTTTAATATTAATATCAAAGTTTAATATTAAAATGTGTTCTGTGGTCTCCTGTCATCATTTCCTCTTACTGCAACTTTGTTCAGGTTCCATCTATCTGGTTCACCTGACTTTCAGCAACAGAAAATCCCCATTTTCTTAAAAATAAAGCTTTCTGTAAGCTCTGGCTCCACAGTCATAGGCATCATTTCCTTCAAAGATCATTCTACAAATATTGAAAATTCTGAAGTTTCACAACTTATTTCGGTTGTGCTACCATGGAAGCAGGAGGAAGCCAAATCCCTGTGGATTGATATTTGTTTATAGAATGAATCTATGAAACTAAGTTCAGGAAAGCAGGAGGAAGGAAGTCAGTGCCTGGAAAAGARAAATATATATTTACTTTATTCTGAAGTCTTCTGCAGTCATCTTTGTATTATCCAGGTCCAAAAGTACCTTGTGGGTTTCCACAGCTGCAGCCACGATCTAGAAGAGAAACAAAACGTTAGGAAAACATTCCCTGTGAACCTCTCAGTCTGTCAKTGCTYAAACTTSTCTGGCAAAGAGCATCSTACCTGTTTTTGGAGTTCTTCAATYTGTCCATAATAGTGGCTGTAGTCCTTTGGGCCCATAGGACCTTGCTTCTGGTACCACTCCCTGATTAACTGCTCAAGCTGAGCATTTTCCTTTTCCAAATTCCTGACTGTCTCCATGTAGGCAGCCAGGCGTTCATTGAGGCTCTGCATGGTCAGCTTCTCGTCGTTGGAGAGAATTCCCACATTCCCTCCATAAAATCCACCGCTGCCAAAGCTGCCACCGCTGAACCCAGCACCACCTCCACCAAAACCTCCTCCATAACACCCCCCAAACCCGCTCCCCGCTGGCCTRAAGCCCGTTCCCATGCTGCTGTGCCCCATTCCTCCTCCATAGCACCCACCACCCATTCTCCCAGCCCAGCTGCTGCTGCTCATTCCTCCTCCATAGCTACTGCCATAACCACCACCCCCCGCTCCATAGCAGCTCCGGGAGCTTCCTCCACCACAACTGCTGCCAGAAAACCTTCCACTTGTCCTGGAAGTGATTGTCCTCGAGGAGGTTGAGGAATGCGAGCTGCTTCCTCCACCCCCTCCACCCCCTCCACCTCCTCCACCTCCTCCACCACTGCTCCCTCGCAGGCAGCTTTTCAGGGGCTGCTTAGAGCCACAGCTCATAGTGGCAACAGCAAATAACTCAGGTGAAAACTCAAAGCTGGCCTTACAGTTGTTCTGGAATCATAGCCCCAACTTCCAGCSAGCCTCCTCTGCATTTATACCTGAGACAGTGGGTGTCACCGTGGAAGGGAGTACCTGGTTTCCATGTGTGGTTGCAAGCCCTAATTTGCCAAAGGGAGATGCTTGACAGTCTGAGGAATCTTAACCCTTCCTCTAAGTGTTTGTGACCATTTGTTTATTAACACAAAACATGTAATTTCTGTTGGGTGGCTCTGAATTAGGGAGATCTCTGTTGAGATCTAGTGCACTGGCTTACAGTCACCCRAGACAAATTCATCCCACCCACCTCGTCCTGGTCACATCCCTCGCAGCACAACAACGTGCTGCCACAACACAGGCCAACAATGGACATGCCTCTCTCTTTTCTAATACTCAGATATTTGTCAAGGAATTCTGGCTGATTTTTTTATAGCTAACTGATGTTTTCATAGATTTATGGTTATCCTATGCTGTTGGCTCCTTATTTTTAGTCCTTTATTGCTTTATGCTTTTGGAAAGCCTATTGCAGGATGCACGTTATAGGTACACAGAACCATTCTGACTTCTTAGCAATATCTCATAAAAACTCAGTGAACACTGGCAAATACCACGTGGCAGCAATTATTCCCATCACACCTCTATAATTGGTTTCATAAATGACAAATTAATTATGAAAAATGCTATTACAGCAACTGCAGAACAGCTCTGTGTCAGGCTGAGGGAAGGAAGTGTGGAAAGTTGTCACAGGGAAAAACCTTTCTTGTGCTTGGACCAAATGCAGGTACAGGATGGTTGAGAGACATGGGAAAGCTTCCTGGCTTGGGACTGGTCACTCCTGACATGCCTGGGAGTGTCATTTGTGATTAAGGGAATTCAAAATTTTATCAGGATGTTTTCCCTATGCAGCACAAAGACAAACATACTTGGAGGAGAAAGGTAAAGTTCTGGTTTGGGGATTAAGTCAATATACTACGTCAAAATAGCATTTTTTCTTCAGATGTTTTCCATTCACAGACAGCATGACCAAAACTAGGAAATACTTGCTATCTTTTAAGATAATTTTCTTCTTTTAAGATCCTATCTTTGCCCAATGCAGTGGGTATTTCAGTTGCCCGTGTGCCCTATGAGCCCTCAGATGTGTCCCTGAGCCTCAGACTGTGACATTTCTCCCCTGGGTACCTCTGACCCCTTTCCTCCTGCCCAGRCACACAATCCTTAGCAAATCCAGTCTGTTACCTGTCTCACCTTGTGGGTGGAACCCGTGTGATGCCCAATTTCCTGTATTGATTGGGGATGTTACTGTTTTCTCACTCAGCCTTTGTGGTGGTGGTTGTTGCTAATTAAGTTTTGTTTGTTACAGCAACCGTTTGTGGAAACAGCTTTTGGTGCAGGCCCCTCCCAGCACACCCTGGCCCACGCAGAGGATGTGCTTCACCTTCCACCTGCTCCACTTCATCTCTGAAACATCCCAGGCAGCAAGGCCTCCCCTGCACTGCAGGAATTTAAACGGTTCACTGCAACTCTCARTTGAGTCTGGGGGATTATTCTAGCTCCCTCCAGTGAGAAATCCTTTTCTCCCAAAGGGAATGAAATTGTCTTCCATACTTTCAGCTACTTTGGCTGAAGAAGCAACTGGTTATGTCCCATTTAATTCTTGCTTTAAGCTGCTGGTACCCCTGATACAGGGACAGGGGAACAAATCTGTGTTGTTCAGTTTAATTCTGCAGAAGGGTTTTGCTATTTTTTTCTGGACAGATTTTTATTACATCTTATATCCATCATTCCTTTCAGGAGGACCAACCTTCCTGTCTTCCCGTAACAAAAAAACATGTTTGGATGGTTTGAATATCAGTGCAGAGCAACTTCATAGCTTCATTTTTAATACATAAAAGGAAGATTTAATGTCATTTTCCCCCTAGAATTTGTGCAGGCAACATAATTCAAGACTGAAACTTAGCTCTTTAATACTGAAGAAGCCTGACAGATTCATTGTGTCTGGAAATCCTGGCCAGGATGAGAGATAGAAGTTACAGAACAAATGGTTCCTGAAAGGAATGTTTTATTTCAGAGCTGCTGTGAGGTGGAAGCTGCTTTATGAGGCAGTAATTTTCTCTGCAGTTATGTCTCATAGTATTGTCCAGGCCCTTGCAACACACTGAGCTTCCTGGGTGATCTTAGATAAYGTTTCCAGCAAAATCTAGAGATGCTGCTCAAGCTGCTGGGCTGGGAAACCTTCACATAAAAGTGATGCCAATAAACTCTGTGAGAGCTGGAAGGATCCATAGTGGTACCTGTGAAACAGGGCAGAGAAWTGTTATGAAATCTGGGGCTGGTGCTGCTCACTGCAGCAGAGCCAAAAACTGGGCAGAGCCAAATTGGAGGGGAGGCAGGAGGAGGAGAAGGAGGAGGAGGAGGAGGAAGGTATCTTGGAGGCAGGTGTCACCACGGTTGTTTGCAATGAGGCCTCTCCCTTTTCCTGTGATGAAACTGTTACGAGCTCCTGCCCAAAGAGGAGGGTGGACTATTTAAGCCTGAATGGCTCACCCAGCACTGGCAGGAATTCTCCAGGATGGGCAGCATTCCCTCAGCACTCCAATGACAGGGTTCCCGTGTGCTCTGCACAGCCCAGATGAAGCAGAGGCTGCAGGAGAATTAAGCCCTTTCCCTTTGAGAGTGTGGGAGCAGGAATGGGCTGGGGCAGAGCCCAGGCTGGGAATGTGGGTGAGCACAGGCTCCTCTCAGCCCCAGCTCCGCATCCACACCCTCCCCACTCTGATGTGTTTGGGAGAAACCACATTGTGGGGTCACAACTGGACTGTTGGCCCCCTTTTTGGTGCTTCACTGGGATCCTTTTCCATCTTTCCTGCTTCTGGTCCGGTCTTGTCAGGAAAACTCAATTCTTGTATGTTGCTACACAGAGAACAACTATAAAATATGCACCTGGGGAATATGACTCATTCTCATAATTATATGTTATAAACTAACTCCCATTATATGATCATCAGGCAGTTTTATTAACACCAGATAATTCCACAGGATTTCTCCATAGTAGAAAGGAAAGCCAGGCTGTGTGGTGTGACTGTGTTGGAGGGTGAACATCATTCTGGTTTGCACTCTGCTCTTCTTTTCAGTGAGGTTCAGCTGCCTGATCCTTAGCATGAAACTGTTCTCTTCTCCATTAAAATTTAAATGATGGGGATTTTTTCCTTATTCAATAAAAAGCTAGATGTTTGAAAACTGTAGAATCTGATTTAGATCAGCTGTAATTTTTTAGGGCTTAATCGTGTTTATTGTTTTAATTATGGATTAACTGAGAATTCTAAKCAAAAAGTAATTCCTACCCAATGATTCCTAATTGTTTACTCTGTAGTGAGGACACAATGTGTGTAAAATCTTTTTTTTTCCCCCAACTAACATAGCAATGGATGCCTGGCAGCAGTTCCATCCAGAAATATTTSAGATTGAAAATGTTGTCGGTTGCAACAATGTCCTAAGAAATGTGTGATTTTCTATAAACGCATTTTTGTAATTAGAAATAATTCTGTCAAAAGATGGTGCCTCGTTCTTCTTCAGGCAGGGGGCTCCTTGCCAGTGGCCTTGGTTTCATTTCCACAACCCAAAACACACGGAGTGGTTTTAGATCTGAGTGATATTCTGTGAAAATCATCTGCAAGTGGTGGCCTTGGCAGTGCTGGGTTAAGGGCTGGACTCAAGGATCTCAGAGGGATTTTCCAACCTAAATAATTCAGTTACTCCCTTGTGCCAAAAACTATTTTGACTTTTTTTTAAGTGAAGGGTTTTAAATATCTGTTTAAAATATCTGTTTTGAAGTGAGGGAGTAAGTCCCCGCCTCTCCTGTGCTATTCTGCAAGACAGGGTGTAATCTTGATGTGCACCCACACCCTGAGGTGTGTGGTCACAGCGAATTTCCCTGGAATCTGTCCCTGTTGTGTCCAATGGTCCTAATGCAGCACATTCACCCACTGGTCAGTTAAAGCTGGACTCGACACGGGCAAGTCCTGCTGCTCTCCAGGGAAAGGCACCCAGCCGTGCCCAATCCAGCAAACATCCCTCCTTTGAGAAAAAAAAACATAATTCCTGCCTACATTCTACTSATCTATTACTCATTCACTATTGCAGAGCCGAGTGGTGATGAAACATTAAAGAGCACCTTCAAAAGCTCCACCACCCAATCGAGCGATCGTGGCTGTGATAGGAGCAGTAATTAGGTGAGTCAGAGCCATAAAAGACTTTCAGAACACAAACTCTTTGGTTTGGAACTGCTTCATTGTGGGTCTAAACAGCCTCTGGCCTCGCTGACTCTCGGGGGTCTCAGTTGCTGCTGCTCCTTTGGCAAGAGCCTCATTAGTAAAGGGTCATTACAGYCCAATTAAAACCACTGAGGAGACCCTGGGTTTCACCGTCCTCCCACTTAGCAACACGATACAAAATATTGCAGTGCCGTTTGGAAAGCATAAACAGGTATTAGCAAATTGGTGAGGGAGTTTCAGCCTGGCGTCCGTCCCACGCACCCCCGCACGGGAGAACACCTGCGATGTGCGGGAGGCGCGGGGGATTCCTGCAGCATCCCTGAGATTACACCCAGAACCGGCTCATGTCAGCCTSACTGCGAGCCTGACCATTAAATACCGATGGAGCCGGAGCGGGATGCAGGGCTGGTAAAGCGTTGTGTGTTTTTTGGCACTGGGATGTCCCCGGTGCAGACACCGCTTCACCCGGCTGSTTCTGTCGGGAGGGGTGAGCCAAGCCCCCAGCGCTGGCTCTGCCCTCGCCTCTGCCGGCAACTCGGTGGGAGCCGAGTGCCCTCTAGAGAGCAGCTGCAGCCCAGAGCCGGGGATCGTTCAGCGCCTGCATCTCCAAATAATCTCCAAAGACTCCGTGCTGTGAAAGGCAAAATGCGCCGGGATCCCTCGGCGTGGAGGGCGCAGGGCTCGGTGGCACAGAGGGAGCAATGCCCACCCTACTGCAGGGCAAGGGGGCCCGGACAGGGCGGAAATTGCTGTAGCTTGTGGATCAATGCAT